AGCTGGTATCACTCCTTTCGGTTTGTTTGAATTTTTAAGAATGTCATTTTGACTGTGCAAAATCGCACTGGGGTCTTTCAATTCTTCAGCCTTGTTTTGCGCGTTGTGCACTCTGCCTGCCCGTTTGCCAGTCTTGCGCTTTTCCCTTTGCTCCCGCCTTGTTGTTGCGCGCTGGTGCCTCGCTTGATCGGCACGTCGCGCCGCCGCTCGTCTCCGTTTGAGTTGCTGGCCGTTTTGGCCGCAGATCTGCTTGCGCATCCCTGTTCAGCGCTCCCCGCTCCATCCCTGACCCATCCCCCGTGTCGCCCCGCCTTGTTCTCAGGGGGCCCTTTCGCGGCCCTCGTAGTCCTCGCTTCCGTCGTGTTTCCGTCACCTGCGCTTCTCCTTTTTCTCTTGCCCTGATTTGCGCCTTATCCTTTTGTTTTACTTCCCCCCTTCGTTCCGACGATCCGTTCCCCGCGTCGCCGCCTCTGGTCCCCTCGGCTCCTTCCTTGCTGCCCCCATAGGCGTTCTTTTGCGCCGCCCGGGCCAAATTTCGTGATACCTACTGCATTACGCGTCGTAGCTGCTGACGTTGCTCAGCCTGCCCGGGCTGCGACATTTTCGCCTGCTCCCCCGCGCTCTTTTCTTGTTGCGCATCGGTTTTGCTCGTCCATTCTCCTAGTCCGCCGTCCATCTGCTTGCTTATCGCATGTTTCTCTGACCTTGCGAGGGGCGGGCCGCGGACACTGCTTCTTTCGTTTCGCCTTTTTTCTTCGTTCTTCATTCCGCCATCCCGGGATTCGTATGCTCTGCAGCTCTTCTTCCGATTACCGCATTTGTGGCACTGTACGTACGGGCCGTGTCTCTCGCCTTTTCTTCCTGCTGGCTATGTACCCACTTTTTCCCGCGCTCGCCTCCCGCCGCGTTGCTTGCACCCTCAATGGATTCCGCGCTTTGATCTTCAGGCTTAGTGCCTTGCCCACTGAGCGCCGCCTGACACTATCGATCGTTTCTGCGGCCGCATGTTTTCGCGCACGGTCTTTGCTTTTTCTTGACAGCTTCTCGTCAGCCCCGCATCGCGTCAGCGTCCTCGTGGTTTCCTTGCCCCCCTGTATGCCACCTATGTGCTTCTTCCCGCGTCCCTTTCTTCCATGTTGAACGGCTGATGACGTCCTGTTCCCGCACCTTGCTATCCGGTTTTTGCCTTTCCGACACTTGCTTTTTTGCTTCGCACTCGCTTTGTGTCTCGCGCTTTTGTGCTAGGCGAATTTCTTCCCACTCTTTCCTGTTCTGTTATGCACTGATTGCCATTTTTTGACTTCCAGTAGCTTATTTGGCTTTTTTCCTTTTTACTTGCGCTCCTTTTCCGGCCGCTTGTGCACCTCCTTCCGAGTGACGCGTGCCCCTTTGCCTCTTGCGCCTGTTCTCCGGTCTTTTTCCGCAACCTCTTATATATTGCACCTTGCTGCTGCTAGCAATGCAGCACGATTAGTACCGTTCGTGGCGTTCTCAGAGCCGGCCACTTGCACGACCAGCACCACCAGCCCCGCGCATTTTGATTAGCATGCTTGCTTTTCTCCTACCCTTCCTTGTTCGCCATCATGTTTCCGACATCTCTCGGGCAATCACTTAGCGATGCGCCCCACGGTTGCTCCATTCCTCTGTACGCGTCTCTGCTCATGGGCCCTTGCCGCCGCCACTCGCGCAATTAATTCGACGTTTCCTGGGTCTTTAGCCTTCCCTTGGCGTTCTGACGCACTTGCCGCTGTTCCTGTTCTGTACGCGCCGTTCATGTCGACACGCTTCATGCCTTTATATTAGCTGTCAGCACCTTCTTCTCGCTTCTCGCTCGTTCGTCCGCGCGGCCGCTTTTTTATTCTCTGCTGATTTAACCTCTGCCTTCGCCGTAGTGCTTTACGCCCCTCGTTCTATTCTCTTACTTGTGGCTTTAGTCTCCTCGCTGCTTGCCGCTCTTTCGCACTCAGCTCTGCCGCTGCCGCCGCGCTGCTTGTCCCGGTCCCATCGATGCCTTACGCCTTCCTAAGTTGCCCTTCATGGTCGCTTTACACTCGTCGCCACATGGGTGATTTACTTGTGCGCTTTGTCGTTTTTTGCTCTGCACCTGGCGCTTATGCTCGTATCCTTCTTTTCGCGCATGATTGCTCGCGTTTGCCTCCGGCTTACCCCGTGTTGCCTTTCTCGTTCTATCGCTCGCTTCGTCGTCGTCCGGAAGCTGGCCTTTCCCAGCCTGGTACAGTTCGTGTCGGCATCAACTCGCGTACTCCTTGACGCCTACTTCTTCGTTGGTCAATTGCATCACGCGCACCATACGTCGTCCCTTATGCGTTATGCTGCCGTCCGCTTCTCGTGTCTTTCCTGTGCTCTCAGGGCTCTCTACCGGGTCTTTCATGGATGCGGGCCGTTTGCACATAGCCTGCACTCTTGCCCATCGTACTTATGAGCACAGCACGTTGGTCCGCAGGTTGTCCTTTTTTCGTCTTCGCTCATTGGCCTTTCGGACCTGTCTCGCTCGCGTGTTGGCGTTCTTTGCGGTTTGAGCTCTTCGCGCGCTGCATCTACGCTGGCACACCCGTGGCACTCCCGTGTCATGCGATTCCTCTCACTGCTTTGCCGCTCTTCGCTAACTGCCTGCCATGCGGTCTTGACGTTTTGCTGCCTTGAGCCCGTTGTCATCCGCACTTTGCTTGCTCCTTCCTTGCTCCCGCGCACCCTATGCATAAATATGGCGCGCATCTGATCGGTTTTTTGGCACAGTCAGATTGGGTTCTGTGTGCACCTCGCACTTCCCATGGTTGTCGCCTTCCCTCGGGTCGCGTAGCAGCCGCATACTTGCATTGCATGCCCTACTTATCTACTGCCTTGTTCGCCTACACGTCGTCTGCCATGCTTGCGGTGAATTTGCGCGCTTGCCGTCATGTCGCTTGTGCACGTTGAGTCTGCCGCATGGTTTCTATCGCACGCGTGACACTATTGACTTTCTCCGACTTCACTATTTTCACGTGACGGCATGCGCTCGAGGTCCAGCTTTTTTGCGTTCTACAGCACCTGCATTTTGCGTCTGTGGGTGCTTTTGTCTTGGCCACCCTTTCTCCATTGTTGTTTGCGTTTTCGGGCCTAGCCGGTCGCCGGCCTTGCCATTCCGCTCTGTATGTTCCGATCGATTATGCCTGCCTCTTTTCCTCTCACGCTTTCTCATGTATGCCCTGCCAGCACATACAGGTTGACTCCTTGCTCAGCTGTACCTTATGCCATTACTTGGCTGGCCAAAATTGAAACTCCCGCTCTTGTTTCTTCTTGTCCGCTACCTGCCGCACAGTGTGTGCTCTCGCCGTCGCGCATCTCCGTTCCCGTAGCATACTTACGTCCCCTGCCGATGTTGAACTGTTTCGCTTTACGCCTTTTTCTACGACTGCTCGTCTTTCTCCCGTCGCGAATTGTCTGCTGCCCTGTTCAGCTGGGCAGCTCTCATCTTATGGCGCACATTGCTTGCACGACTTTGGCGCTGTCGTTGTGCGTTTGTCGCCTTTGCCTTTCCTGGCGCTTACCTTGCGCCGCTCTTACTTCGTCATTAGTCTGCCATCATTGTGCCTCCACCTTTCCCGACCCTGGGCGCCCACGCTCAGTTTCATTCCCGCTGCAACTACCTAGCTCCGAGGGGCTGCTGATCGGCACTTTTCGCCTTCCTCCACCTTACGCGCTGGCAGCCAACAACCTAGTCTACCGGCCTTAGCTGCCTACCCTACACCGTCTGTGCCCTGACTTGGGCTCTTCTTCTTTTCCGCACTGGTGCACAGTCGTTCGGCCTTTTTCCTGCCCGCCACTCTTTGCTTTCTTTTTGCTTTACCCCCCCCCGACCCCGCTCACCCCCGCCCCCCCACCCCGACACCTCTTACCCGCTTCTATTCGTCTAGTCAACACAGACTTATTCGTTCCCTATCCTCCCCTCTTGCTCTTCTGGTTGTTCACTGCTCGTTTGCCAACACTCGTCACTGCCCGCAGGCGTGTGCCTTATTATCCCTGACATGGTTCTGGCATTCGCTTCGGGCGCTCATCCTCCTAAGTGAGTCGTCTTTCCGGCTTGAGTCCTGCTGTTTGCGGTCTGTTCGCCCCACTCGATGGTCCTTTGCGCTCCAGCCCTTTCGCCGTGTTTGCCTCTGGCGCCTGATTCTCGCTGGCTTTTCGGTCCAAGTCCCTACGTTTTCCAGCCTCTGCCTGCTGTTGGCATTTTGGGCCCTCACATGCCATGCACTCCTCTGTGCTGTCTTTCTTTTTCGGCGTTGGGGCCCCACCCCCCCCCCTCTGACACCTCCTCGCCCCCGCTCAATACTCACGCCCCCGCCACCGCGCATTTCGTGGGGTTGCCACCTTTTCTGCACGTACCCCCGCTGCGTACACTTCTGTTGCCTCCTTGGCGCGCGGGCGCACTCTGGAATTGCCCTCTCGGCTATCTCCCTTTCGCCGAAGCTCCCTTTTTTTTTACTTCGCTAGTCCTGCAGCCTCTTCCACGCATCCGCATGGCTTGCCCCCTTCTGACCTTTTCGGCGTCAACAATCTGGCGTGCGGACGATCCGCTCGTTATCCAGTTCCCCTTTTTGGTAGCCTTCCCTTGTGCAGTTCTACCCGCACTCATATCGCCGCTGCGCATGCACTTAGTCATTGCTAGACTCTTTCGGGGTCTCGGGCGTTCGCGTCCGACATGGCCCGCCTGCTGGTTTGCCCTGGGCTCCCTTTGTCCCCGGTTTTCGCATTCCTTGCTTTCGGCTCTGTTCCCTCGGCTGCCTCGTTGCGCCTTTCCACCCTTGATCCTCTGCCTTTTGCCTACTTTCGACCTTTTTTCGTATTTTCCCTGTCTGTTATTCGTGCTCCGGCTTCGCTTGGTCTCGATTATGACGGGCGTGGGGGTCTCGGCGCTCGCGCCCGTCGCCGGGGGGGGGCGGCGCGATGGTTGTGCCTCGGGGCTTCCGGCCGCTACGCGGGGGTGCCGGTGGGGCCGTGGTGGGGGCCGGCCGGGGCGGGCCGCGGCGGGCAGGGGTCGTGCCGCGCCCGGGCCTGCGGGCAGGCACATGCGTTGGGTGCGTCCGATTACGGTTCCTGTACGGCCTGACTCCTTTTGGGCTGCTACCTCCTCCCTCTGCTGTACTGGGTGCGCTTCCCGCGGCTGCACATGTCGCCTAGCGTGTGACGCATACGCATCGTCTTTTCGCTGCAGCCTCTTTTCTTCTCAGGTCTCGCCGCTCCCTCCTCCTTGTGGTTGGCACAGCCGCTCAGCGGCGAGTTGGCCCCGATCTATCGTTTTGCGTCCTGCCGCGCTTTTTTTGGTCCTCTTTCGGTCGCCCTGTTTTTGTCCGGTTTCCTTCGTTTCGCGCTCTTTTCCGGCCGTCCCTTTCCACCTGCGTCTGTCGCCCTCCCTGTCGCCTTGTGGCCGGTGGCGTTCCTTTTGGCAACAGTGCCTGCGCTTATTTGCGCCTTTTGGCCTCGTGGCTTTTTATCTCGGCCTGCACCTCAAGCGTGTCGCTCGGAGGCTCTGCCGCGCACTTACCATTATTGGCTTGGATTTTGCTTGCACTTTCCCGTTGATCCGTTCGTTGCTCATTACTCATCACTCCGTCTCCTTTTAAGCTGCATTCCATTTCGACAATTGCACTGTGCATCTTCTCCGTTCGTCCCTTTGTTTTGTTGAGCTCGCCCATTCCGGTCCCTCCGGGTTGCTGCCTCGTTGCGTGTGCCGTGGCTTCTGGTAACTTTGTGAAGTATGATGCCTCTGCGATTTTCGTTGGTGCGCCGCTCGTTTGCATGTGCTCTTGTATTCGCGCCATACGCTTGTACCTCGCGTCCAGCTTGTATTTATACGGCTCCGCCCCGCGCTGGCACTGCCTCAGCATGCGCTGCGCTGCCCTTCCGCATGGCGTCTAGCGCTTCGGCTGCCTTCCCGCTGTCTTCAGTTCTACCTGGGGTGGAATCGTTCGACCTCATGTCACTGTGTCGCTAGCTTGGCCGTCGTTGTGCTTTCAGTCCTTTGCGCTACGTTCCCGTAGCTGCCTTCAGCACCGCGCTGCCTTCCATTTCTTCGCCTCTTCATCCCTGTGCGCGCGCAACACGTGTCGCCATCGATCCTCTGCTGCCTGTGCTGCATTCGCATTTGCTTTTGTGTTCTCTCCCTGCTTTCTGTGTGTGCATTCAAGTTCTTTCTGTATTTAGCCGTTTTTTTTCTGCTTTTTGAGCCTCCCCATGCCATTTTCGTCCTGGAGAGCTGGCCTTTTGCACACTGCTATCTATTTTGGTGTCTTCCGTCGCCTGGCAGCTACTTATCCTAGTTGCGTGTTCCTTCTCCCGCCCGTTCGCCTTATTCGCTCTGTTGTGCCCTCCGACCCGTCCGGCACCACGTTTCGTGCTATTCTGCGTCGTCGGCTCCTTTTCCGCACACAATCGTCGATTCTGCGTTTGGCCGAGGTGCACGCTCGGCTGCTGTAGCGCACCCTGATGGTCTTCGCTTACGATTACTGTTTGATGCCATGTTTCTGGTGTGGTGCTTTAAGCACGATGTATCGGTTCGCCCTTGTTTGGCGCAGACTGCCCATGCCGCTCGTGTCACGCTATCCGTACCCCTCTTCTCCTCGTCATTCGCTTCGACTGTCGTCTTCGCATCTGCCTTCTGTCACGCGTCATTTCTCGGCCCACTTCTTCGACCGTTGGGCTTTTTTGCGCAGCGTTTTAGCTTAAGTCTTTCTGTGTTTGCTCTGGGCCCTTCTCTGCCACACTTTGTCTTTCCGGGTTGCCTGGAATAGCTCCGTCTCGTTCTATTCGGTCCTTGGGCCAACTTTACCTCCCGACTCTCTTCGCACGGGGCCGATCACACGCACCGCTAACTATAATTCTCGCTGTCGGCTGTTGGCTTTTTCCGCTCCGGTGTTTCATATTCTGTATCTGTCTAGCTTGCCGTTTCTTCCAAGCTTTATCTTGGCTTTGCCTTTCTTCGCACCCTCCTAATGGCAGTCCGTGGGCCTGCTCGTCTTCTGCTGCCCTAGCCCTGCGTCGCCTGTGCCTGCGTTCGCTCAGAAGTTCACGCATTTTTCCGGTGAACGCGTTGACGCTATTGCCTTTCTTTCCTCTTGCGTCGCCACATCATGGTCATTCCTCACACGCTTCTTGCATGTGCCTATCGCATGCCTTTGTCCTTGTGTTCACCAAGTCCGCCCTACCATCGCCTGTTTGTGCTTTTAGTTCCGGTGGGCCCTTACGTCAGAGGGCTCCGTGGGACTGTCACTTGCTACATTCCGCCCGCTCTCCGGTTTGCGCTATCGACCAGTTCCCGTAGCCGTCTTTGCACTATTGCGATTCAGGCTCGCACTAGCACTCCTGGCACGCGATCTCCCAATCCGCGCTTTCGCACGAGCCCCTTGGTGCTCTTTGCTATACTGCGCTTGCTTCAGGTTTGCTGTGCTGCTTCTCCCTTTCCTTTGGCAAGTATCGCCTCCTCTGTGCCAGGCGCTACTTTTATGCCCCTGCCGCACAATCTGCCGCACCATCGCTAGCTGGTGCTGTGATAGACTGCTAACACTGCTTCGCAGCCCTCTTCCCGCAGTGCGTGGTGCACAGTCGTCTCCTTTTGTGCTCTCTGCTGTAGTATCTCCATTCGTTGTATTTGCGCTTGTCGTTCCCTTTGGTCACGCTGTTTCCTCTCTTGCCTCCATTGTTGCACATGTACTTTTCGCTCGCTGCCCGCTCTCATTTTTGGCATCTGTTGCTCTTGTAAATATGCTCGTTGTTCGCGTTCGCTGTCTTTCGCTTCTTTTTCCCTCGGCATTTTTGATTGGGCGGCACGCGGTTTCATTGTGCCCCTGCTACTCCGCTTTATTGTTCCTTGTCTTTCATTGTCTTTTTGCCGCCGCCCATGTTTGCCTTCGGCCATCTGCCTCCCAGGGACTGACCCCGCCCCCTCCTTGGTCTGTCGCCCGCCCCCCCCCCCCCCGCCCGCCCCCCCCGCCCACCTCCCCTCTCCGGCCTCGCTGCCCGCGCCCCCGCCCCCCGCCCCCGCCCCCCCGCCCCCCCCCCCCCCCCCCTCCCCCCCCCTCCCCCGCCCCCCCCCGCCCCCCCCCCCCCCCCCCCCCCCCCCCCCCCCCCCCCTCCGCCCCCGCCCCCCCCCGCGCCCCCGCCGCACGCGCCCCCCCTCCGGCTGCAGCGTTCGCCGCGCTCTGCCTCGCTGCCCTTTGAGCGCTCCTTTTCGCCGCTTGCCGCATACTAATACTCTTCCCGGTTTGTTTCTTCGCTTTGCTGCCTTTCTCGGTTCTGCCTGTAGCGCCGCGCTCCCTGCTGCTCCCGTCTCAGCCTGCCTGCGCGGCCTCCTCAACCTGGTAAGTTAGGCACCCCTCGCAGCTACGCTCCATTGATGGCGTCCGCTTCACCCCCTCTGATATCGCTACCTTCTGATTGCTTTGCCTTTGTATCCCTGGCGCCCTTTTTTCTCACATCTGCTGCTTTATGATTCTTCCGTGGTTCTTCGCTCCGTTCTTGGCCTTGCCTTAGCGCTGCGCCGCCTCTTTGCCACTCCCCAATTTGTCGTGCCAGTAGTGCCGCTTCTTCTTTGTTGCTTTTCGCTTACAGCCTGTGCGTTTGCCGGGGGGGGCTTTGCGCTCAATTGTACCTGCACTTTGTTGTGCGCTGGTCTACGTTCAGCCTTCGTCTCACTCCTGTTGCTTCATTTCGCCTCTCTGGTTTATGCACGCGAACAGCTTAGGCTTTCGCCACGCGTTTCTTGTGCTCCGCCGCCTGCCTCACCTTCGTCTACTTTTCGGCTTGTGCCTGCCGTTTTCCGCACAGCTTTGCTATCGGCGACTCGCTTCCGCGCACAACATGCCCCATAGACCTTCTCGGGCGCTGTCACCTGTACTCTTGCTTACTGTCCCGCATATCTTCGCCTACGTACAGGTCCTATTTTTATTGCTTCCCCGCCCCGCCGTTTCGCTTGCTTGCTTGGTTTGTGTGGCCACCGTGTGTGCCGCGCGGTGTTCCTTTTTTGTTATTTTGATTCGTTGGGCCAATTTCCTGTTCGCCGGCTTTTCCTTTAATGTGTCTGTGCACTCCGTCACACTGCATACCACTGCACACACCTTCATTCCCAGGTATCTTGCACGCTTATCCTCTGTGCCGTTGCTGCCACAGAGGAAGACTTATGACCCTTTCGGATTGCTGCCCTTTCTCCTTCCTGTGTTCAGCTTTTTTCTTTTTCTTGTTAGGCGTCTGCCTATTCTATCTGGGAGGCTCAGCCTCTCTTATTCTAATGTCGATGATCTGCTCAATTCGTCGCTTTCTGTTGGCACCACTGTCTCATTTCTTGTCTTCTTGTTCGGCCCCTTAGCGTGCTTTCGAGCTTCTTTCGCTGTCAAGCGCGCTTTTACCGCGATCTGGCCCGAGTTTGCTGCTTTACCGTTGTTCGTGTTTTTTTTACCTTCTCCCGTAGTTTCAGTGCGCCCTCCGGCCGATGCGTTCCTCTTCTTTGCTATTCCGCCGTGGCTACCAGTTCAGCACCTTTCTGTTTTCGTCGTCCTCCGCTTCTTTCGCCGTTCCGTGTTTCGCCTTTTGCTCCGCGTACCTGCCAGCTCAGTTCCGTCCTTTGGCTGCACAAGCAATTCGACTCTTGTGCGGATGCTCCCCTCTCTTTTTGTGCCTTCCCTTTTTTGGCCTCGCCACTCCGCATTTTTCCGTGGCACCGTGCATATCATTTCTGAGCATTCTCATTACGTGCTCTTCGGTTTTTGCTCCGCTTGGAAGTTGTTGCCTGACTTCTTATCTCCGGCACCTCGCCCTAGCTCCTGCACCTGTCTTGGACAGCTTCGCTGTCACTTTTCTTTGCCGTGCTTCTATGTTCGGTCTACGCTTATTGACGTGCAAGTGGTCGCCTTTGCGCCCTGGCGTTTTTATACGTTGCCGCTCTACGTCGCGCATTCGTTGCGTGTGCCCCCTGTGCTGCTTCCGTCCTATTCTTATGACTTGTCTTAATTCGTTCGCGGTCTGATTAATGCTCATCTACTCGTACCGTGCCGTTGACTTGTGCCTTTTAGTAATGTGTGCGTATCCCTATTTGTTCCGCTTGCACCATCCGCTTTTTGTTTCTCGCGCTGCTCTCGCGGCTTGGTCTTGTTTGCTTCTGTTCGCGATTATTTGTGACGTCCACCTTTTGTCGTGGGCACGCTGGTTCTCTTGCGCTAGATCACTCAGGCTTGTTCGCCGCGGCTATGGTTTGTTTCGTCTTTCCGGCTCTTTGCTAACTTTGCCCCGCCGTGGGCTGCGAGCTAACCTTGCTCCGTTCTTTTTCGCCTACATCCATCTTCCCCATTCTTGCATTTTTATGTTTTTGCTGCTTTCTGTGCTTCTCTTTTTCTTTGTTGCGACGTTTGTTCTGCCCTCTGCGCTTTGCTTCTGCCTGTGTTATTCTCTTTTCGTACCTCGTTTTTTCTATCACTTTCTCACGTTTCTTGGGCCGTCTCGTGCGGCTTGCATTATCGGCCGTGTCCGCAGCACTCGCACCCGGCCCCTGCGCGCATCCTCGGCGCATACCCCTCCACCTACTGGCTTGACGCTGCTTGCCGCTCCTTTCCTTTTTGGCCTGTATTCCTGTTCCGTGCTCGTCACATTTCCGCTCTTTGGTTGAGTCTTGGCTTGGCATCGGCTCCTGCCACATTTGACGCTTGTATTGCGCCTCGTGCCCGCTTGACTTCATCGCTAAATTTACTTGAACATAGTGTACGCCCTTGCTTTTATCATCTTGGGCTCTCAAGCCGGTGTTCTTTTCACGTCTGCTCTATGTCGCTGCCGTCCCATTTGTCTTTTGTCACGTCCTTGCCTTTTTCTTGCTTCCGCGTTTCGTCACTTTTGTCTGGCGTATGCACAAATTCGCGGTCGTTCACTTTTTGGGCTTTGCTATCTTCTGTGGGTAGCGCCTTTTTGTGTTCCTCGATCCTCGCCGCTATGGTCAGTCGTGCCCTCGGCCCTAGGATTTGTTATCAGCTTGCCTTCGTCGCTCTATGCTATTTCCCCTCCACCGTCTGCAATGTTTCCTTGTGCCTGGCTGCTATGTTCCTCTTGACCCGCTGTGCACACTCTTACTGGGTTTCGTGCGGGCTGCTCGCGTCCTATTTCGCACCTTGTTCACTTCGCACGCCTACCATGGTCCCCCCTCTTTTTCACCCCCTGTCTTCTTGACTCATCGCTTTTTCCTCGCTCGTCCTGGCATTGGCCCCCCCTTTGGCCCATATGCATCTGCAGTGATGCTGCTCCTTCGCTTTTTCGTTTAGCCTGTCACTTGCTTGCGGTCTCGCCTGCGCCGGCACCGGACTCGTTGGCGTTTGCCTTTTGCCTCTGGCTACAGCGTTTTCGCTTTCGAGCTTGCCTGTGTTGTTTCTGCCTTTTCTTTCCGACAACCGCTGTTTCGTGCTTCCTTCGCGCGCTCGCTGTATGTTCTGCATCTTTCGCGACTTAGCATATTTTCGCAGTGGTGCGCCGCCAGTTCTGTGTACTCTGCTCTTTCGCCCTGTTGCCGCGCACCTTTCGCCACCTAGCTCGCTTTCCCGCATCCGTTGCTTTGCACCAGTACATTCGTTTCCGTGCTCTCCTTTTGCGGCCCTATTTTTGTCGCCTGCTCTGCACCATCGCCTTGCTTTGCGCCTCTTTCGCTTCTCTGTGTACGTGCCTGGGAATTTACCGTGAGCTGTCCTCGCGTCGCCACAGCGCTGGTCTGCCGTTCGCCGCATACGGTTTCCCCTCTTCGCGCGATTTAGTGCCACTTATCTGCCTTTGTTGCCCTTAGCAGCTGCTGTTTTTCTTGCGTGGGTTCGCTATTACTGTCGGCACATATTCACGGGCGCTCTACGTTTTTGTTGCGTTCATAGCTGCCTGTATTCGCACCTACCCGTACTCTTGCGTACGCCTCTCTTGGCGCCCTTCTAACATCCTCTTTCTACTCCTTTGTCTCCTGACCTCTGTGCGTCCTTCTGGTTGCTGTGGCCCTCCTCGTTCCTGCCTTGTGACGTGCTCCGCTCTCTATTGCTTAGTTCCTTTGCCTGCGAGCGATTTGCGTATGCTAAGCATACTCGGCTCCTGCTTTATTTGGGCCGCTTTTTTGCTGCCCGCTTTCGACCGGCTCCACTCTGGCTTTTTGGAGCGCCTCGTTCCCGTGACTTGCGTGCACCGTAGCGTCATGCTGGTGCTTTGCGACTATTGCCTGGTTTGCCGTCTTTTTGCACGCTGGTCGCCTCCGCATTGTACCGTCTCCCTTCGTCTCTTTCCCCCTTTTCTCTGCACTCCTTAGCTCCCTCTCTTACCCTCCTTTCTTGGATCTGCTCGTCACCCTTTTCCGTTTTCAGTTGTTCTCGGCTTCCGCCCTCATCGCCGCGCTATCGCGCATTTGTGTGGCGCCACTACGCTCCGGTCTGCAGACGGCCGCGCTCACGCGTTTGCCGTGTCGCTGTTTCTCACGCGTGGTTTGCACCCCCCCCCCCCCCGCCTTATTGCGCTTGTGCATGGTGTCTCCCATAGCCTTCCTCGTTCTTCGGGCTCGTTGCACCTCTTCTCGGCTGCTACCCTCGCGTCGCACAGCCTACTTCCGCCCCTTTGGTCGTCCGTCTTTTGTTGGCTCTTTTTGGCCGTTTCTTTCTGTCATCTAGGGCTAGCACGCGCGTCCCCGTTCCCACCCTAATGGGCCCGGTCTGGTGTTCGACGCGCTTTATTCCCTGGCGTCGCTCCCCCTCTTCGCCTTCGGCACACTGCCCGCTCGCTCTTGCCCTTTTTGCGCTGGCCTGTGGCCCTCGTCTTTTGCCGTGACGTAGGTAGGCGGCCGCTCTCTCCTCTTGCGCGTTACTATTCCTACTCTCGGCTGTTCCCCTTTGGCTCCTTCTCCGCTGCCCCCGCCAATAGTCTCTTCTTTCACCTGCGCACCATTGTTTGCTTCTGGATCCGTTGCAGTGCCTGTCTGCCCTTTGTCCTTCGCCTGTTACCCGCCTCTTTCTTCCCGCTCGAATTCGCTTGTTCCTGCGATGTGTCGCGTCCTCTTTTATTTCCCGCCTCAAGCGCTCTGCATGCACTTTACTCGCTACTTCTTTTTTTCGACCCACTCCGTTCGCCCTGCTACTTGCCGCACACTTTCCCCTTACGGTGCCGCATCTTACTTTGGTTAGCCCGTGCCCGCAGCTGCCATCTTCCCTTTTGCGCATGTTTTCCATCGCTCTACGTTGTTTTCGCGCCG